AAGGAAGGAAGGAAGGAAGGAAGGAAGGAAGGAAGGAAGGAAGGAAGGAAGGACGGAAAGAAGGAAGGAAGGAAAGAAAGAAAGAAAGAAGGAAGGAAAAAGAGTGGCCATTAAAAAACTTGTACAAAATATAGTCAATTATATATGTGTATGCATATATATATATATATTACTAACAGCTTGATGTTCTACAATTCCTAGGGTAATATGCATGACACCCTCACAGAGAAATTTTACTAGAATATAGGAAAATATTTAATGAGTGTTAATTTTGAACAGGGACATAAAATTTTCTTGTTCTTTTACTCTCTATCTAAATAAATGCACATATTTATTCATACAAACATATATTACACACACACACATATAAATTATTGCTCACATTCAGGAAAGTCATTGAAAAATTGTTCAAGAAAATGGCATGGAAGTGGTCTTACAGCCATAATATTATTTTCATCATAAAGAAAAGTAACTTTGGCTGTGAAATTCTCACTGGAAAACAAAATAATAATCCATTTCTTGGTCAATGTAGAATCTGAGCTAAGGAGGTTTGTTAGTCTTTATGAAGGGAGGTGTTCTCCTCTTTCATCAGCTACAGCCAACTATACACTCACCTGTCATGGTACCCTCCTCCCAACTTCTGAGGCAACGCTGAAAAGTTTCCTTTTCATGAGATCTACTTTTCTAGATCCCATGTTGGCCACAGTTCTCTATTTACAAAGTCTTTCTTCAAGTAGCTTACAGAGGAGTGAATTTAACAAGCATATGCCTTCCATTTTCTAGACGGCACTCTTATTGAGAGGATTAGAATGTGGGCTTAAAGCTTCAATAATGCTTCCCAGAGTACCACTGCACTTCGTAAAACTTGGAAGGGTTAGGCTGCTAATCACTTGTTACTTTGATTTTCCAAGCTGGAAACTCATATTGCTGTTTCTTTCTATTGTAATCTTTATATTTGGCTCTTAAAATTTTCAAGAAAATAATCTCATTAAGCAATTTCCCATCCAGGGTAATTTTGTTTTAAAATGGTAACAGGTTAATATTTTTACATCTGTCAAATAAAATTATTATTTTAAACAATGTCATATTGTAACACTATATTTTAAGTCAAGAAAATATGTTATTATTTTAGCACACGGCATTTGAGGTTTCCCCAAAATAGATACAGTTGTGATATTCCATAGTTTAAACATATTATGAGCATATTTTAAAGTGTTATTTATTGAGTATGTGTGTCAGTAACATTTTTCTGTAACTTTAAACATATTTCTTACCACAAGTTGAACTCTTCCACCATTGAGTACATCTGGATCTAACTCAGGCAAGAAGTGATTGCTTTACGGTGGCAAGAAAGGAAAAGAAGTTACACTATAAATATAGAGTAAGAATATTAAAATATGCCCAAATGTCTTTATTCATAAAATAAAGACAACAGCGTTAATTTATGTTATATATAATAAACGCACATATCACATACATATAAAATTCCACTATTATTTACAAATTTAGTTTCATAAAATTAACATATAAATAATACCTCAAAATTACCTCTCTTTTTAAAATATAAAACTTAATGAGCAAACATCTGAAAGAGCTAATAGTGATATTTAATAAATTATAGAAAATCTAAGTGTAGTTTCATGGCATTTACTTATTTTATCCCCATTTTTCTTTGGCTTTTTGAGACAGTGTCTCATGCATTCCAGGCTTGACTCGAACTCACCATGTAGTCAAAGGCAAGCCTAAACTTGCCGCTTTGTCTCCCCCTCCAAGTACTGGGCTTACAAGCCTCATCACTTGTAGTTTTAACAGTCTTAAGCTTTTATGTGAAGCAAGCGAAGTTTTCTACTTTAGTGTTCTACTATGTTTGATGCACCCTACAAATATTTACAGTGCAGTTTAATTTTACTGTGGTAAAATATTCTGATATCGATTTTTTTTATAAAAAAATTGTCTTTGGAAGCTATAGAGATGGTTCAATAATGGGAATTTAAGGCATGGTGCTCTGTTCTTAGAATCAAAGAACTGTGGGCTTGGGTGAGGGAGGAGAAAAACAGATCCACAGAGGTTGCTGGGCAGCCAACATAGCCTAAATCAGTGATTCCCAGATATGGCCTCTGATCTCAACATAACATACACACATGTGCATTTACACACAAATACATGCACTTCCCCAAAATACAGGTGTGTGTGTGTTTGTGTGGGTACACACACGTGCAAACACAGGTTTTCTATATATAAAGTGATTTTTTGGAATACATTTAAAAAAATCTTTTATATATAGTTAGTAGAAAATCTGAGGGATTGTATCTTTCATGTACTAGATACAGATTTTACTGACTAGTAAATGATAATACTACAAGTTTAAGCATTTAAAATTTATCTTAAATATTGTTTATATTTTCCACTGTATCGCATCTATATTAACACTTTAATTTTGAAACAAGCTCTCTCATATCTAGTTAACAGAGATAACTAATAGATTTTGTTGCATTTGTTAGCATTCTAAGAATGATATTCCAATGAATTCAGTTCACCTGATTAACATGAACATGAAATAAATTTGTTTGCATTAATTGTAATACTTCATATGAAAATGTGGATTATTGCTGTCTTTATTTCGTTCTTTGATCACAATATATACGTCAAATAGCAAAATATTTCCATTTTTAGTTTTGTTTTATATGATGTCCACGTTTGGCAAGAAGTTAAATGGGCTGAGGTCCTCCTGTATGAAAGTTCACATCACATATATCATCGTAAAACTTTAATTCAGAAATGTAGCTATCAATTTTATAAGTGACTAATTTTTATAACAAATCTATATATTGACATGACGACAGTTACAAGATATCACATGTTTTCTTAATGAAGAGGAGACTGCATGGTTCGTGTGCTGGTTTGAAGCATAACAGAGTAGAGCTCTTCCTAAATACTTTTGGTGAGAACTGTAAAGAACAATTAAATCCACAATTTATGAAAGCCTCTGGCGATGTGATGTATTGGCTTTTGGCTAGGAAGTGGTATTTGTTTTAGCACAATTAACCTAGGTTTCACTTTTCAAGATTTGTTTACGATACAAAAATCTAATTTGAAGGAAATGACCTCACCATTTCAGGGTTCTGGAACTAGTTGTTTCTGGAAAGCCCACTTGGGTATGAAGCCACTGGTAGGTGTACTCATTACTCTTTGCTAACTTTTCATCCACAGTGGTCGGCTTGGAGAGGGTGGCTTCCTCTTCACCTTGGGAAGAAATGTGTAACATTCAAAGAATTAAAATCATGGCAGGTAGCTGACATGATGCTACGAATTTCATTATAATAAAAGAGTATTGACAAAGCATGGTGACTAATTAGCATCAGTTATTAAAACTTAAGCATCTCCCATTTCAGTTTCATTGCATCTACTTTGAAGAATAAAAGAAAAAAAGTAATGCAGTTACCATTATGTAAAAATAGCATCCATTATAAAACTCGTTTTTTTTTGAGAGACCATAGACCTTTCTTATATTAACAGCCTTGTTTTTAGACTTATTTTAAGATCCAACGTCCTTATACCATCCTCATATACAATAGAATTTACAGATTATAACAAAGTTATTTAAAACAGACTTTTGATTTTACAGAATTGAGCTTTGTGTAAGCTATTATTTTCAATTATCAATAGTTCATACTAATTATTCAAAACAATGAATTTCATTGTGATATTTTGCTTACATGGTAGAGGAGGGAACTGATTCTCAAAATTTATTCACTGACCCTCACATACCACACGCTGTGGCACAGGAGGACTCACATTCAACACATACCCCAAAGAAAGTGTGAAAGTACACAACATGCTGAAGCAATATTGTGTGAAATTACACAAATCTCTGTCTCTGTTTCTCTCTCTCGGTGTGTGTGTGTGTGTGTGTGTGTTGTGTGTGTGTTGTGGTGTGTTTAGAAAACCCTGCAAATATTGCTGTCGTGTGAGTGTCACATATTATTCGTATGACACCATTGCTTTGCACCATTGTTTAGCATCATGGGCTTGATCCTACATGCTGCTTCTTTTGTGGAAACCCTCTCATAAATGATAAGGTCTTGCTTGCTTTGTAAGTTTGGTCAACTGCATGTTTCTAAAGTTAGTTCATGGCAACTAAGCACACAAGTACATAAAACTATAAAATCTGATGGTTAAAAATGACAACGTTTTTCAGGTGCAGTTGTGAACACAGCCTTTAAAAGTGCTGACACAAGTTTGCAAGTTCAAGGTTCATCTAGGCTATGTGAAAATTGTCAGGCAAGTTAGGAAAAGATATTGAGACCATTCATTTAAATACTAAAGAGTAAGTAAATAAAAGAAAACTGAACATCAACTTATTAAATTGAGGCATTGTCTTACTTATTTCTTGACCTTGTAATCAGAATATGTGTACGCTCTTTGGAAAATGAAGTAGGTCTTCAAACTCATAGTAAATGCATTTCTGTGTACCCACACACTATCACATGCATAATGCTGAATGTGATGAGAATGAGCATCTTACATCTTTTTCCCCTGAAAGGTCAGTGAAATAACTCTGGTTTTCAAATCAAGATGATGCTAGAGCCAATATTTAGGAAAGTTTAAACGATGGGGCTTGTTTATCTAATGTCTAAGTTATTGTCGCTTCTGATGCTACCACATGGCTCTAAACTGTCCATAGCTCCTGTCAAATGATTTCAAGTCAACCCTTCATTAGTTAAAGGATTCTGTCACATGTCAGGGCTGACTGATGTATTCATATGCAGAAGCATTTGATACATACATAAAGTATAAAGAATACTTTCTCAAAAGGAAGATGTGTTGTCATAGTTACTCTACAAAGTAAAGTGACTTTTCAGTAGATCCTGGGTTCGGATCTACCAGTTTTGGTTGGTCACACCAGGTACAGTTCAGTGACATTAACTAGTAAGACTTCAGTGAGTCTGATGCTCAAACCTTACCTGTTTTTAAGATATAGAAAGCATGGTATAATAAACATGCCTAGCTTAGATATATCTGTGGCCTTCTGTTTCTTTAATATTGATATTCACTACTATAGTCACTTATTAATATACACTTGGAAAATTTCTCCAGTTCTTCATAACACTAACTGGTTTCTCAGGAGAACTCAGACAAAGTTTTAGACAATTCCTGTGTAAAGATCAGATCCTTCATTGTAAGGGACCAACTTATTTAGGGCATCATTAAAACACAGACTGATATCTTGGCTGAAGCTCAATTAAGAAGTAGAACAAGCAGAATGCGAACTTGGCTGACTGTAACCAAAAGTAGTTGAGAGCTGAGGGATGTGATTCCATCCCAGCTAAACCACTACAAGATTACCCTGTCACTGAGCACAATACCCAAAGTAAAATTCACTCTGAGGCATACGGAAGGCTTCAGCACCTATGTTTGGAAAAGTAACAGAGGCTTATATTACTTTACAGCACTCTGGTCATGTGTTTCCTAAGCCTTTCCTTTCAGTGTCGAAGAAAGCAGCATTTTTGCCTGTAGAAGGCAAAATCCATGAACCACTGTCCTTGCTTTGCATCCTGCTTCGCCTATTCTTTGTGCTTTGAATCTCAGAAAGGCGACTTCCTTTTATTCTTGCTAATCTCTGGTTACTTTAAAGCATGGCTTTAAGTAATTTTAATTAAGGCCATTGTCAGACTCAGTAACAAAATGCTATGTCATTTATAAAAACAGTTTATGAAGTAAATTATTAATGAAGAGAAAACCTGAAAAATAAATGCCACTTTCTAAAGTCAGCTACTTTGTAACATTTTGAGATAAGTTTCCTTAACCCACAAAATAATTTGCTTTGACTTCAATTTTTGTTATAAAGATGTGAATTCTTTATGTTCTGATTCCAGTTGGTTGCAACAAAAAATATATGCAATAGAAATCTCATTATAAATATGGTTTTTATTGATTTATATTATAAAATATCAAGTTGTCTGGTGATTAGATTTTTATTCTTTGAAGATTTTAAAATTTATTTTTATCATATGTGTTTTATTTGCATGTAAATGCATGCATTGTGTGCATGCAAAGCCCCTGGAAACCATTACAGAGCAACAGCAACCATGGAAATGGAGTTCCAAGTAGTTGGAGTTGTCATGGGAAAGGTGGGAATAAAATTTTGGTACTCTACAAAAGCACCAAATGTTCTTAACTTCAGAGATATATCTCTAGTCCCTTGATGATTGTGTCTTTATTATCACCTTTAATTCATTTTCAGGTGAATTTAGAGATAGTTTGTCTAAAATTATATCTATATATGCCTAAAATTTTATACACACACACACACACACACACATAGAGTAGTGTCTGTCCCACCCATACTTACTTCATATTGACATGTTAAATACCTAAAAAGCTATTGATAATTGGATAATATTGTCTAATTATGGTTGTTATTTACTTCTCTACTTCTAGGTAAACAACATTAGCCCATATAGTTATTTACTAGTTTTATTGTGAAAAATGTTTCTGACACTTTTAAATTGGAGACTACTTAAATCATGTAGCATCCTCCTTTATGATTTTAACAAAGTATAAATCTTTTCTCTGTTATGAATGGTAAAAATATTTTTCCTGCTCATTGTTATTTTCAATTTCTGTTCTCTTTTCAAAAAGGTCATCTTTCCAGGCTTCATATTTGTGTACATCTTAACTACCATCCAAACTGCATGCAGCTTTCCACTGTGACCTAAAGGCTTGCATCTCTGAACTCAATAAACTGCCTGCAGTGTAGGACTCCAGGAAGAAATTCTATACATGTCCAGTGATTTTTCTCTTCACTAACAAAAGTCTTTTATTTATTCTTTGTCTTATTTTGTCAATTTCTATTCTTTTGTAATTTATGAAATCTCACTTTGATATATTGAAATTGTAGTACCTAAAGTTTCAGGACTGGGTATTTATTTCTGTAGTAGAAAGCTTACCTAGCATGCACACGGCCCGGGGTTCAATTCCTAGTATAGAAAAGAAAGACATAATTTGTAAATGTTATATATTGAACGTGATAGGTGTGGTGGCTTACGCATATATTCCTATCATTTTAGAGACTACAGTAAAAGGATTGGTGTGAATTTAAAGATAGCCTGGGCTAAAGCGAGTAAGACATAATTAAACCAGTTCCCAAGTAATTATAAGACTTTTACATTTCTTATCTTATATTCATTTGTTATTGTTAATCACTTCTCCACTAAATCAAATTATTCAGTTCAGTTCTCCCATGCAGCATCCATGAGAATGGACTGAGAACTAGGGCACA